AAAGGCAAAGGAGAAACTGAAAGATATACCCATCTGAATGCAGAGATCCAGAGAAGAACAAGGAGAGATAAGAAAGCCTTCCAAAGAGAACAATGGAAAGAAATAGAGGAAAACAATAGAATGGGAAAGATCAGAGATCTCATCAAGAAAATTAAAGCTTCCAAGGGAACATTTCATGCTTCATGGGCACAATAAGCGCAGGAACAGTATGGACCTAACAGAAGCAGAAGATATTAAGAAGAGGTGGCAAGAATACACAGGAGAACTATACAAAAAACAAACAAAAAAAATCTCAATGACCCGGATAACCATGATGGTATGATCCTTCACCTAGAGCCAGATATCCTGGAATGGGAAGTCAAGTGGGTCTTAGGAAGCATCACTACGAACAAAGCTAGTAGAGATGATGGAATTCCAGCTGAGCTATTTCATATCCTAAAAGGTGATGCTGTTATAATGCTGCACTCAATATGCCAGCAAATTTGGAAAACTAGGAGTGGCCAAAGACTGGAAAAGGTCAGTTTTCACTCTAATCCTAAAGAAGGGCAATTCCAAAGAATGTTCACGCTACCATACAGTTGCAGTCATTTCACACACTAGCAAGGTAATGCTAAAAATCCTTCAAGCTAGGCTTCAACAGTATGTGATCTGAGAATTCCAGATATACAAGCTAGATTTAGAAAAGGCAGAGGAACCAGAGATCAAAGTGCCAACATCAGTTAGATCATAGGAAAAGCAAGAGAATTCCAGGAAAAAAATCTACTTGTACTAAAGTCTTTGATTGTGTGGATCACAACAACCTATGAAAAATTCTTAAAGAGATGGGAATACCAAAGCACCTTGTCTACCTTCTGAGAAACCTGTATGCAGGTCAAGAATCAGCAGTTAGAACTGGACATGAAACGACAGACTGGTTCAAAATAGGAAAGGAGAACATCAAGGTTGTATATTGTCACTTTGCTTATTTAACTTATATGCAGAGTACATCATGCAAAATGCTATGCTGGATGAAGTACAAGCTGGAATCAAGATTGCCAGGAGAAATATCAATAACCTCAAATACGCAGATGACACTGCCTTTATGGCAGAAAGTTAAGAGGAACTAAAGAGCCTCTTGATGAAGTTGAAAGAGGAGTGTGAAAAAGCTGACTTAGGGCTCAACATTCACAAAATGAAGATCATGGCATCTGGTCACATCACTTCATGGTAACTAGATTTGGAAACAATGGAAACTGTTGACAGAGTTTATTTTCTTGGGCTCAAAAATCACTGCAGATGATGACTGCAGCCATGAACTTAAAAGACACTTGCTGTTTTGAAGAAAAGCTATGACAAACCTAGACAGCGTATCAAAAAGCAGAGGCCTACTGTGCTGACAGAGTATAGTCAAAGCTATGGTTTTTCCAGTAGTCATGTATGGATGTGAGAGTTGATCCATAAAGAAGGCTGAGCACCGAAGAATTGATGTTTTCTTTTTTTTTTTCATTTATTTTTATTAGTTGGAGGCTAATTACTTTACAATATTGTAGTGGTTTTTGCCATACATTGACATGAATCAGCCTTGGATCTACATGTGTTCCCCATCCCGATCCCCCTCCCACCTCCCTCCCCATAGATGTTTTCTAACTGAGGTTTTGGAGAAGACTCTTGAGAGCTCCTTGGACTGCAAGGACATCATACTAGTCAATCCTAAAGGAAATCAACCCTGAATATTCATTCGAAGGACTGATGCTGAAGCTGAAATTCCAATACTTTGGCCACCTGATGCAAAGAGCCAATTCATTGGAAAAGACCCCCTTTCTGGGAAAGACTGAAGACAGGAGGAGAAGGGGAAGACAGGTTGAGATGACTGGGTGGTATCACCAACTCAATGGACATGAGTTTGAGGAAACTCTGCAAGACGGTGAAGGACAGGGAAGCCTGGCATGCTGTAGTCCATGGGGTCAAAAAGAGTCAGACATGGCTGAGCGATTGAACAACAACAAGGGAAGTGATATACAGCATGAATACTATAGTTAGCAAGGCTCTATTATATATTTGAAATTTTCTAAGAGAATAGATCTTAAAAGTTCTCATCGGAAGATAAAAACTTTTGTAACTATGTGATATGACAGATGTTGAGTGACCTTGATGTGCTTATCTTTTCCCACTATATACATATATCAAATCATTATGTTGCATACCTTAATCTTATACAATGTAATATGTCTATTATGTCTCAATTGGGAAAAAATACAAAATGTGAACAGGCAAACAACAAGTGAAATGATTTAATCAGTCAAACCTCCCAACAAAGAAATGCCCAGTGATGGGTTATTTCACTGGTGATTTTCATGAAACCTTTCAATAAGAATTAATACCAGTCTTTCTCAAACTAGCCCAAAAACTTGAAGTGAAAGGAACACTCTCAAGCTCATTTTATGAGGCCAGCATTACCCCAAAACCAAAGCAGGATAAAGATACTACTAAGTAATACAGGCCAATAACCTTGATGAGTATAGATGCAAAAATTCTCAACAAAATACTAGCAAACCAAATTCAACAATATGTAAATAGATCATGCACCATCATCAAGTGTGATTCATGTCTAGGATGCAAACATTGTCTACATATGTAAATCAATAAATATATACCACATTTATAGAGAAAGGTAAAAATCACATGATCACCTCAATTTTTTAGAAGTTCACTGCTAATAACATCATATTCAATGGTAAGAGTTTGAAAGCATTTCCTTTAAGATCAGGGAAAAGAGAAGGATACCAACTCTCACTACTCCTATTAGGCATAACGGTAAAAGTCCTAGCCAGAGTCGTCAGGAAAAAAAAAGCAATTAAAGTCAGAAGTCAATTATCTCTGTTTGCAGATGACATGATTTCATACATATAAAACTGTAGAGACTCTTAAGATATAAAAATATTAGAATAGTAAAGGAATTCAGTAATATTTCAGTATACAAAATCAGTTGTACAAAAATCAGTTTTGTTTCAATAGCAACAAACATCCACAGAGAAATTACCAACATAACCCCCTTTGCAACAGAACAAAATAATAAAATACTTAGGAGTAGGTGTACCAAGAAAGTTAAAGATCTGTACATTTAAATCTATTAGACACTTATGAAAAAAATTGAAGACACAAATAAATGGGAAGATATCACATATTCATGGATTATAAGATGATATTGTGGAAATGACCTTACTACACAAAGCCATCTGTATATTTGGTGTAATCTCTATCTCAAATTTCATGGCATTTTTCATAGGATAAAAAAAAAGAGTCCTAAAATTCATATGGAACCAGAAAAGACCCCAATTTACCAAAGAAATTCTGAGAAAGAAGAACAAAAATGGGGGCAATCATACATCCCAATTTCAAACTATATTGCAAAACTATAGTAATCAAAAAAATATGGTGCTTACATTAAAAACCAACATATAGATGAATGGAACAGAATTGAGGGCCCAATTATAAAACCATACTTATGTTCAACTACTATTTATAAGTGGGCCAAGAATATTCAGAAAGGGAAAATTTGTTGTTTTTGTTTTAGTCACTCATCATGTCCAACTGTTTGCGACCCCATGGACTGTAGCCCACTGGGCTCCTCTGTCCATGGGCTTACCCAGGCAAGAATACTGGAGTGGGTTACCATTTCCTTCCCCAGGGTATCTTCCTGACCCAGGGATCGAACCTGCATCTCCTGCATTGAAATCAGATTCTTTACCACTGAGCCAGGGTGGAAACACAAGGGAAAACTACTCTTTTACTAATGGCATTGGGAAAACTAGATATTTACATGCAGAGGACTGTATCAACCCCCTCCCCCATACTACACCAGTCACAAAACTTAACTCAAAGCAGATTAATGACTTATGCGTAAGACCCACATATGTAGAAATCCTAGAAGAAAACAAAGAGCAAATACTTCTTGACTTTGGTCTTGCCAATGTGTTTTTAAATATGACACCTAAAGCACAAGCCAGAGAAATAAAAATAAGCAAGTGGGACTTGAAATCTGCTCAGCAAAAGACAAACTATTAAAATGAAAAGGCTCCCTATGGAATGGGAGAAATTGTTTATAAACCATATACCCAATGAAGACATATACATACACACCATGGTATACTATTCAGCCATAAAAAGAAAGAAATCCTATCATTCATGGAAATATGAATGATCTTTAGTGAGTTATGCTGTGAGAAAGAAGTCATAAAATGCAAATATTATCTGATGTCTCTTTTAAGTGCAAGCTGAAAAATGCAAAGTTATAGAAACAGAAAATAGATTGCTGGTTGCCAGGGTTTGGGGTTGGCATTGGGGAAAGTGGGGAGATGTTGGTCAAAGGGCACAAACTTCTAGTTATATGATGAAGTTCTGGGGATATAATATACAGTATGGTTAATATAGTTAACAATACTCTATTATATACTTTGGAGGTGCTAAGAGTATTGTATACTTAGGAGGTTCTTAAATGTTCTTTCCACAAAAGTAATTGTGTGAGGTGATGGATGTGTTAACTAACCTTATTGTGGTAATTATTTCACAGTATATGCATATAATGAATCATCACACTTAACACCTTACACTTACACAATACTATGTCAGTTGAATCTCAATAAAGCTGGAAAACAGTAATAAGAATAAAAAAACAGCAAAATACTCACTTTTAGAAAAGAAATGTTTCCTTCTCACTGACCTGCCAATGGCTTAATGATATATGATGGCTTAATGTGACATTGCTTCCAGGGTAATGGGATCAAGTCATCAAACAAAGACAGAGAAGCTGTAATGTTGAAATTTCAGACACTGACCAGCAAATGAAAAAGGTATTTGGGAGCAATAGAGAAATCATCCTTGCATTCTGAGTCATATGCTTTGTGCTTCAGCCTATTCTGTTCTGAATATAGATAAGGATTAAACATGGGGCACTAGGTGATTTGAGAAGCCCCTTGCTACTTAATTTATACCATTTCCCTTTGATCTCCCATCTACTCTAGGTGTCAACTCTGCCCGCTCAGTTCCTCCTTCCTACCCACCACCACAGGACCCGTTAAACCAGGGCCAATACCTGGTCCCCGATGGCATCGCTCAGTCGCAGGTCTTTGAGTTCACCGAACCCAAGCGCAGCCAGTCACCATTCTGGCAAAACTTCAGCAGGTTAACCCCCTTCAAAAAATAATACCAACAGGGAGGCAGATAATTTTAAAATAAATAAAATTATATTTATAGATGGACCTTTTTTTGGAGAAGCACTGTTGAAATTTATATATATATATATATACATATACGCACACATGCATACACACACATACACAAAAACACACAAAGTCTTGAGTGTACACACCCACACACCCAACTACATACACACACACACACACACACACACACACTCACACTCACACTCACACACACACACATGCAGAAGGACCAAAAATGTTTTCTGTTGTTTTGGGCAAGTAAAATCTGTAGTTGGTAGGAAGAAGTACCAATGACTTCCAAACACGTGATCCCTTAAAAAGTTTTCTGTTCTTATCCTGCCCCCCTCCCCTTTACTTTCAGAAACTTACATTTCTATTTGTTCCTTTTTTGTTGAGATAATCTTTTTGCTCTCCTGTGAATGATTCATTGACTTGTCATTATTAACATAGATGTGTTGTATTGTTTTTTACTTTCCTGATGATATTGATGCTGATGACTTTTGAATTTAATTTAATATGGTGGAGTTTGGGAGTTTTGAATTTCTTTTTTTTCCTTTTACTTCTCATTGGGTAAAGGAAGGATCCCCTTTCTCCTCTCCCTCGACTGATCATCTGCGAATGTTTCTGCAGCCCTGCAGTTGCCCCAAATAGCCTTTTTCCTGCATCTTCTGTCCTAGTCATACCAGTCTGGACATGCTCTGTTGTGCCCTGTGACATAACTGCTCAATATTTCTATTGCTTTCACTGTGTTTTAGGTGTTGTGGAGGGATTGAAACTAAACAGAAGTAAGAGAACGTCAGAATAACACTAGAAGGGACTTTTGTTCAGAAAATGTTCTGCATTTGGGCTGTTTCTTCTTCTAGCACTGGGGGTTCCCATGCTGTAGCACTGCTGGGTCACGACAGTTTTGTATCTGGGGTTTAGTTTGGGTCAGTTATTCTCTTCTTCATGCCACTTTGGTTATGGGGTTTCTTCTAGGCTTCTTTCTCCCCTAACTTAAAAAGTCTGAACTAGAAGCAAAGAGGCTGAGACTCTGCCCCTTGAAGGAGGGATTCAACTGTCTCCAGTAACAGGTAGGTTTAGGGCATGGTTCCCCACTGAAGTCAGTTCAGCAGCCTGGTTATAACTGCTTCACATTTGCAGATTGTTTAGGCAGCATTATTCAGAGTCTGTGAGAGGTCAAAACAGAGCTCACCTGACCAAGATCATCAGCTGTATTCAAATTATTGACCTAGACAGAATCCAGGGCTGAGAGTAATCTCTTATAGGAAAGAATAAAGACGGGCATGGAAAGAGACATCCTCAGTCCAAGATATGTACTTACAGTTCCTAACTTAGGTGTAACTTCCGCCATTGTTAGCAGATTGCATGGATAATCTTCCATGGCTCCTTCATCCTCCTCCCTGTTTTCCTTCTTTCTCCTGCTCTCCCCTACACAGGAGGATTGCTGGTATGAGCATAATTAAAGCACTTCTGGAACTCAAAGAATGCCCTATTTCCAATATTCTCCCATCCCACCACAATTGAAGTAAGCAAGTGAGAAGCCCAGGGGACATGTCCCTTTGGAGAAAGGATCTGAGGCAAAGTTGCTACCCTCAGGTTCATTTTTGGCAGGCTTTACACTTCCCACACAAAGAGACAGGCTCCCTATGTGTACTCCCTATTCCTCCTCTCCACATGGCCTTTTGGGTAGGTAGACCTTGAATAGTAAGAAGAATGTAGTACAAAGGAGTAAAGATGGGCCCTACTATGGAGAGCCATTCTAGTGAGGAGATTGAGTCTGTCCTGGACCCTGTGGGAGAAGAAGACTTCATCATGAAAGGACCTCAGCTTAATGAGCGGCAGCTGTGGCTGAATGGGACACTTAACATAGCTAGCTTGATTGCTGCTTTTATGCTTCCTGATCCAGACCAGGCCCTGTCTAGCCTTGGAATTTCTCCTCTTTGGGAATCAAATAACAACCTGTTTAAGCTCACATTCCACCACACCCAAATGAGACTTGAGGAGTAAGCCAAGGATAAGCCTGAATTGAGCAGAGGGCTAGAGCTCGGGACTGGCCACCACTGCTCAGCACAAGACCCAACTACTTAAGCCCCCTTGGCAAAGAACCTGGTACTGAGTGCCGAAGCTAAATTGACCTCCCTGTCAAACAGAATATCTGGCTTTGTAGGCCTCCCTTGAGTGTACATTGTTTTCCCACTTTCCATTCTTCCCCATTAGGCCTGGCCTTGACATGTTTTTCCAGAGCTTGGGGGCACACCAAAAGGGGATGCTTGGATAGGTCCCTGGACCTACAACTTCTCTTGGCCAAGCTCCCTCCCACACCCCCTTCCTGCTCCCCTGGACAGGGAGCAGGACACAGAGCTCCAGGATCAGGGATTATCACCTCTTTTCCACCTACCTCTCACCTACCCAACTCACTGGTCTCATCAGATGCCAATAACTTGTGAAAACAATAAGAAATCAGTTTACCATTGGTCAGAAAATTCCTGTAACCTATGACAGCAAGCAGACCAGTGATGGACAGCCTCAAGGGGAGCCCCCATTACCTGAGTTCAGAATCCAAGCCTATTCTGTGTCCCCACAGCAGTGCTCTCCCTAAGGAATCTGTAAATCTCTGTTTCTGCATGGTCCAGAGATCCCCTTTCCTCACCTCAATGAGGCCTGGATTTGCTCTCCAAAAGTCTTGGAACCTGGCATAGAATGGCCTAATCCAGAAACTCAACTCCTCTTTCTCCCTCTCTCTCTCATTCCTTCTACATGTATGTCTCTAAAGGATGTATAAGGACAGCAACAAGAGAGTTCTAACAATTCTAGTGTGAAACCAAATAGTGATCTTTTAGTGCTTTGGGGATGGGGTGGGCTGGGGTGGATGGATGGGCAACAGTGATTTTGATTACCCCTGCTGCTCTGCACTTGCCAGTTTATTATTTCATTTCTTCTATCTGATTGTTTGACCCTGTCAAACAAGTGTCAAAGTTGTGTGTTTAAAAAAATGTTTAACAAAAATATGATGTTGTAATGACACAAAGCCTTATGAAAATATTTATGGAGTTCAATAAAAGAAGTAAAAGACACCTCTAGGCATAGCTCTCATGCTATTTTATGTGTGTATGTTTTACCAATTGCTAAATAAAGGGAATTTGCCTGGTGGGGGCTAATTATTCCAGCCTAACCTGCCAGTCCTGTTGTTCTATAGTCAGGCATACCATGGGCTGTCTGTGGCCTTCCATGTTATTTCTTAAAGAGTGGGCCACGAGAACCAAGTTTGATTCTGTAACAGAGGCACTTCAAATGTCTTTATGGGTAGGACTGTCCTTCATGTCACTTCGCCCTTTGACAAGTCTTAAAGACCCATTCCTGACTTTGCTCCTTTTCCTTGCAGCTGCAAGTCCAGTACTTGCCCTGTGCACTCGCACATGATCTTAAAAGCTGCTTTTTGAACCTAACCAGAATCCATATCACTTAGGAATCCCCCACCTCCAGCTATTTCCTAATGCTTCCAGTCCTGTTTCCTCTGAAATAGACACATTTATCTATCCCCCAAAGTGTTTATTTCATCATGGTGTCTCCTACACAAACATGCTCCTTGCTGCCCACAAGGTTCCTGTGTGGTATCTGCTGGGTAACCCAGCAGAGATACAATGGTTTGTATGTTCTGGTACTACTTCACCTGCCTTTCTCCAGAAGAAATAAACACTAACCCTAATAAAATGCTTATTCGTCACTCGTCTCCCAATCTGCTTCAAACTGATCTCAGAGTTGCTTACTCTTAGAGTGTTCCTGGGTGCCACATGGATTGAGGACAGTTGGAAACAAGAGTATGGAATGAGCTAATACTAGCATATGAATGAGTGTCACTTTCTATATTCTCCTCGAGAGCCCTATCTCTTTAAGTTTTCTAATCTAGACTTCCAACAGATGACTACGACCACAGGTCCTTTTGTCTCTAGTACTAAGAGCAAATAGAAGGAGGCCCAAGGTCTCTGCTGTGGGTTTTGACTTACTTCAGTGTTTTAGTCACTGAGGCCACCACTCTGCTGCTTAGCCTGCTTAACCTTTGGACCCTTTGGAATTTCCCTATTTATGTTGACCTGCTTACCCCTGCCTCCCAGAGGCTTCTGTCCTGAATAGAATAGAATGCTGGTTAGATAGACCTTGCTCACCCAGGCCTTTACCTATCAGGTCCAGGATAACAAAAGGAGACCTCAGCATTCCCCCAAGTACAACTGCCTGCAGTACAACAGTTTAGCCTGGTCATAGGTATATTAGACCATCTGGGTTTGCCAACACGGTTGGAGCGGAATTTTTGGAGGTAAATTCATGTTCACTAGAAGCACACTATTCTGGTTCCATCTCTCCCATTTCTTTCTTCTTTCTCATGAAGCGTTTTCTCATATGGCCATGAGTGTTTTCTCATATAATTGGGGACAAGTAAAAGGAATGGTGCATGGCGATAGAGTGGTCCTGTGTCCTTCAGAAGCCTGTATTACTTCTATTTAACTCACCAATAGGTCCTTCAAGGCAGCTTTTTAGGTGAGGCTTTGTCCATCTACACAACAGCCATGTTTCCAACCAACTGAATTAGATTTAACTTGCATGTCCTAAATATATAATCTGGGCTAGGTCTTATGGTTGGTACACAAGAGATATCAAGATGACTAAAATAAAATCTCTGCCTACAGTCTCAGAGTTTAGTGAGAAACTATAAACATGGGCCATAACAAGGATGGATGAAGTCCTCAGGGCACTCAGAATATGGAGTGGTTAATTCTAATTGAGGAAGATCTTTGTAATCAGTCAGGATAAGTTTAGTGTACTGCAATAAGAGATATTCCCTCAAGTCTTTTTTTCCTTGTTGTTTATACAGTTTCTTTTTTAATTTATTTGTTTTAAATTGAATGATAATTGCTTTACAATATTGTGCTATATTCATACATGAATATGAATCTTAATGGCTTAACATATAAGAGTTTATTTCTTGCTCATACAAATCCTGCTCTGAGTCCAGGTGACTTTACAGAACAGCTATCACCCATGTGATAGTACATGATATGGGCTTCTTCTGCCTTGCTACACCTCCATCTCAAGATGTAGTTCTATAATCACCACAGCTGAAGAGAGAGCCCTAGATTGTTTCTCACTTACAGTTAAATTCTCTAGCCAGAACTGATCATAAGGCCTCATCCAACTTTAAGGAAATAGAAAACTGTCAAAGTCCTACAAACTCAGAAGGGCAGGAGAACTAGATATGAATGAACATTAGACATCTCTACCAAAGAAGGAAATGTTTGAACCAAGTCTCAGAAGACAAGGAAAATTCTACCGTATTGTGAATGTTAGAGCAATTGAGAAGTTAGGGGAAAGAGTTCACACAAGACAACCCTCCCTTCCGACACCAATTGAGAGTATAGGGATCCCAAATAACACCCTTAGGTTTGATAATTCACTACAAGACTCACAGAGTTCATTGGTATACTCATGGTCATGCCTTATGAAACCTAAAGGATACAGATGAAAATCAGTCAAGGGAAAAAGCATAGAGCAGAGTATAAGAAAGTACCAAACAGCTTCAATTTTCCTATTCCTGTGGAGTGAGGACAATGTTACTTTCCAAAATAAATATGTGACAATATGCATGGATTATTGCCAGCCAGGAAAGCACACTCAACTTTCTTAAGATTTTGTTGGAGCTTTATCACTGCCCTTGTGGCTGATCCCTGTCTACAGTCCCCTCAGAAGATGAACTGATACCAGGTAACTCAGAGCCCCCACCATAAATCACATTGTTGGTGTGGACAAAAACCTCATCCTAAATCACATTGCCATCCAGACAGAAAATTAATAAGGAAACACAGGGCTTAAATAAAACTTTAGATCACATGGACTTATTTGATATTTATAGAACATTCCATCCAAAAGCAGCAGACTATGCATACTTTTCAAGTGCACACAGAACATTCTCCAGTATTGACCACATGGAGAGCCATAAGGTGAGCCTCAGTAAATTTAAGAAAATTAAAACCACATCAAGCATCTTTTCTTATCACAACACTATAAGATTAGAAAGAAACTACAATAAAAATTATAACAATACAATATGATACTAAACAGCTAAAGAATCACTGAAGAAATCAAACAGCAAGTACAAAAATACCTAGAGACAATTAAAAGCACAACAGTCCAAAACCTATGGGAGGCAACAAAAGCAGTTCTAAGAGGGACATTTATAGCATACAATCTTCCTGAAGAAATACAAAAAAATCTCAAATAAAAGTCCTGACCTTACACCCAAAATATCTAGAGTAAGAACAAACAAAAACTAAAGTTAGCAGAAGGAAAGAAATAACATCATAGAAGAAATAAATGAATAGGAACAGAGAAAACAATTGTAAAGATTAATGAAATTTAAAGCTGGTTCTTTGAAAAGATAAACAAAACCAATAATATTTTAACCACACTCATCAAGGAAAAAAGGGAGAGAACCCAACTCAATAAAATTAGAAATGAAAAAAGAGAAGTTACAATTTACTCCAGAGAAATACAAAGGATCATTAGAGACTACTATGAGCAACTCTATGACAACAGAATGGACAACTTGGAAGAAATGGACAAATTCTTAGAAAAGTACAACTTTCTAAAACTGAACCAGGAAGAAATAGAAATTATGAACAGACCAATCACAAACATTGAAATTGAAACTGTGATTTAAAAACTCCCAGCAATATTGTAAAGTAATTAGCCTCCAACTAATAAAAATAAATGGAAAAAGAATAAAAATTTAAAAATAAAAAATAAAAATAAAAACTCCCAGCAAACAAAAGTCCATGACCTGATGGTTTCATGGGTGAATTCTATCATACATTTAGAGAAGGGTTAACACCTATCTTCTGAAACTGTTCCAAAATATTGCAGAGGAAGGAACACTTCCAAACTCATTCTATCAGGCCACTATAACCCTGATACCAACACCAGACAGAGATACCACACAAAAAAAGAAGAAAATTACAGGCCAATATCACTGATCAACATGGATGCAAAAATCCTCAACAAAATACAAGCGATTTGAATCCATACATTTTAAAAGACCATGCACCATGATCACAGGATTCATCCCAGGTATGCAAGGATTTTTCAATATTTGCAAATCAATCAATGTGATACACAACATCAACAAACTGAAGAATAAAAAATATACATCTCAATAGATACATAAAAGGCGTTTGACAAAATTCAGAACACATTTATGATAAAACCCTCCAGAAAACGGCCATAGAGGGAACATACTCAATATAATAAAGGCCATATGTGCCAGACTTACAGCTAACATCATACACAATGGTGAAAGCTGAAAACATTTCCTCTAAGATCAGGAAAAAGACAAGGATGTCGACTCTTAGAGAAGAAAAAGAAGTAAAGGGAACCCAAATTGGAAAAGAAGAAATTAAACTGTCACTATTCACAGATGATATGGTACTATACATAGAAAATCCTGAAGATGCTACCAGAAAAGTTCTAGAATGCATCAGTGAATCAGATAAAGTTGCAGGTTTCAAAATTAATACACATATACAACAGAAATCTGTTACATTTCTATACACCAACAAGGGAATTCCAGAAAAACATGTATGTCTGCTTCATTGACTATGCCGAAGCCTTTGACTGTGTTGATCACAACAAACTGTGGAAAATTCTTAAATGGAAATACCAGACCAACTTATCTGCCTCCTGACAAACCTGTATGCAGGTCAAGAAGCAACAGTTAGAACCATACATGGAACAACAAAATGGTTCCAAATTGGGAAAGGAATACATCAAGGCTATATACTGTCATCTGCTATTTTAGTTTATATACAGAGTATATCATGCAAAATGCCAAGCTGGGTGAAATTCAATCTGGAATCAAGATTGATGGGAGAGATAACAATAACCTCAGATATACAGATGACATCACCCTAATGGCAGAAAAATGAAGAACTAAAAAGCCTCTTGAAGAAGGTGAAAGAGGGGAGTGAAAAAGCTGGCATAAAACTCAACATTCAAAAAGCTAAGATGATGGCATCGGGTCCCATCACTT